TGGGTTGCAGGCCAGTTCCCAGCAGGGGACTCACAAGAAGCAACCACACATTCATATTTCTCTCTATCTCTTCTTCCTTTCCCCTCTAAAGATAAATAAATAAAATCTTAAAAAATAAAATACATTTAAAAAAAAAGATATACAGTCTGGGACTCTCCCTCAAACTTACTAAACTACAAAAAACAACAACAAAAAAAACTATGGCTGAGGTGCAGAAATCTGTACTTTCAACAAGCCTCCCAGGTGATTCTGAGCCCACCAACATCACAGAACTCTGCTGCAGAAGAAAGAGGTCATGATTGACCCAACAGTACTTCCTTCTGTGGCTCAGCCGCAAAACCACTGACTCTGGCCTCGTGCTCAACCTACCCAAGGGAGCCTCCACCATGGCCCCCAGGACTGGATGCTTGTGATGAATCTGATCTCAGAGAGGAGCCAAAACAGTCCCGACCCCTCGTGCATTTATACCAGAAACAGCTGCAAAGGCATTGGGAGAGCTGGGGACCACAAGTGCTTTTGAGAACATGAATCACCATTAGGTAATTCATGTTAGTTTACATTTTTAATTAAAAAGACCCTTCATAAACAAAAATAGCTTACAAAGGCATGTACCCTTTGATCTTGCAATTCTTTTGGGGACTTTATTTTGCAGAAATTATTTATACTTGTACATATGTATAAGATTACTCACCGCAGAACTGATTATAATAGCAGCAAAAGATTGGAAATAACCCAAATGCCATCATTGTGGAACTGATGAAATAAATCATACATATATACAATGAATAATAATGAGAAAACTGTATATGTAATGGTATGGAAATGTCTGCAACATAGATTGTTAAAGGGAAATGCAAGGTGCAGAACACATGTATAATATGCTATCTTTAGTGTACAGAAGAGGAGTAATGAAAATCCACATTCCTATTTGCTTGTGTGCTCATCAAGAAACACTGGCCATGGCTGGGTAGCTCAGTTAGGTAAAGCATCATCCTGCTGTGCCAAGGTTGGGGGTTCCATCCCCAGCAGGGCACATACAAGAGTCAACCAATGAATGCATAAATAACTGGAACAACAAAAATTGATCTCTTTCTCTCAAATCAATAAATAAAAATTTAGGGAAAAATTTAAAAAGGAAAGGCTGGAAGCATATATAAAAACAGGGTGGTTACCCTTGGGGTGGGGAATGGGAACCAAGCAGATGGGGACACTAGGATGGGAAGGAAGCTCTTCACTTACAGGGGTGTGTGTGCGTGTACATGATTGTACTCTGGAGTTTGAGACCACGTGGGTGTATTATTTACTCAAAAAGTAAATGATAGGTTCCGGCCAAGATGGAGGCATAGGTAGGAACCCTTTGCTTCCTCGCACAACCAAAAGGAGCATAACAACCAATCTAAAATCAATAAGCAACCAGAAGTGCCAGAAAACCAAACTGCATGAAACTCTGACAACCACAGAATTAAAGAAACAGTCAAGCAGAACAGCCAGATCAGTAAGGCGGCACATGGCAAGAAACCGCGGTGAGGCCGTGGACTGTGTGGGTGGCACTGGCTGCAGTGAGGTGGCAGGCTGCATGGGAGGGGTTGACTTAGGGGGAAACTGAGACTCAGAGGTGGCTGTGGACAACAGGGGTTGCCTTGGTGGGAGAAACTCCCAGCCTCACATGAGAGTTCATTGAAAAGTGTGCTAGAGACCAGCAGGAGAGCTGCACTATTCCCTCTTTGGCCCCACCCCCACAGGCAGTGCTACAGTGCAGCAAGGAAAGTTGCCCTGCCCTGGTGAGTACCTAAGGCCCCACCCCTTACAACTTAACAGGGACCCTGAAAAAAGAAATAGGGCCAAAGTGAAAGAAGAGAGCAAAACCTCAGAAAGAGAGTTAAACGATGAGGAAATAGCCAACCTATCTGATAGAGAATTTAAAGCTCTGGTAATCAAAATGCTCACAGGACTGATTGAGCTTGGTCGAAAAATTAAAGAACAAATGGAAGATACCCAAAATGAAATAAAGCAAAATATTTAGGAAACCAGCAGTGGCAGGAAAGAAACCAGTACTCAAAGCAACAATTTGGAACAAAAGGAAGACATAAACATCCAACCAGAACAGAATGAAGAAACAAGAATTCAAAACAGTGAAGAGAGTCTTACAAACTTCTGGGACAACCTGAAATGTTCCAATATCTGAATCATAGAGATGCCATAAAATGAAGAATGACAGCAAGAAATTGAAAACTTAATTGAACCAATAATGTAGGAGAACTTCCCTGATCTGGCAAAGAAAATAGACTTTCAGAAAAACCAGGAAACTCAGAGTCCCAAAGAAGTTGGACCCAAACAGTAACATACCAAGGCACATCATCATTATGTTACCTAACATTAAATGTAAAGAAAGATTCTTAAAAGCAGCAAGAGGGAAGGAAGGAGTTACCTACAAAGGAGTTCCCATAAGTCTATCACCTGATTTCTCAGAAGAAACCTTACAGGCAATAAGGGGCTGGAAAGAAGTATTCCAAGTCATGAAGAGCAAGAATCTACAACCAAGATTACTTTATCCAGCAAAGCTATTATTTAGAATGGAAGGCAGGTAAAGTGCTTCCCAGATAAGGTCAAGTTAAAGGAGTTCATCATCACCAAGCCATTATTGTATGAATGTTAAAGGGACTTATCTAAGAAAAAAAGATTAAAAATATGAACAGTAAAATGACAACAAACTCAAAACTATCAACAAATGAACCTAAAAAAAAAAAAGAAAAACAATGAAAACAAAAACTAAGCAAACAGCAGAGGGACTTCCGCCAAGATGGAGGCGTAGGTGGTGATGCAGTGCTTCCTCACACAACCAAGTTTAGAGACAACTAAATATTAGCAACACAAAACACAGCCAGAACACAGAAAATTGAACTTTTCGGAAGTCTGATAACAACAAATTCTTCAGCCTGACCGGTAAGAGGAGTGAAACCAGCAGCTGGAGGAGCAGGGTTGCACAGGAAAACTCCATCAGACAGACTCAGGCATGCGGAATCCAGGCGCGGGGTTGGACCTGGTGGGCAACTCAGCGAGTGAGTGACCGCAGGGAAACAGCGAGGGAGCAGGGCTGTGGGTTGACTCTGGTCTCGCATCCGTGCGTGGATAGACAAGCAAGGGAGTGGGCGATTGGACGGGACGCAGCAGCCCCAGTGGCGAGCGGCAGCAGAGGGCGCCGCCATTTCTCCGCTCTGACCCCGCCCCCACATATAGCGTCATAACCCAGCGACCAAAGTGGCCCTGCCCCGGTGAACAACCTAAGGTTCTGCTCTTCACCCAGCTGCAAGAAACAGCAGAGGGGGCCGCCATTTCCCTGCTCTGACTACGCCCCCACATACAGCGTCACAACCCAGTGACCTGGGAGTCCAAGGCTCCCCTCCTCGTACTTAACGGGCGTGAACAGAACAAAGTGGCTCAAGAAGATCTCAAAGCCCCAGAGCCTATAAATCTAAGCGATGAAGAAATAGCAAAACTCTCAGACGCACAGTTCAAAACACTGGTGATCAGGATCCTCACAGAACTGGTTGATTATAGCCACAAATTAGATATACATATGAAGGCGAAACTAATTGAAATGAATGGAATCACACAGGAAATCAAGAGCGATGAAAAGGAAACTGGGTCTCAAATCAATGGAGTGGACCAGAAGAAAGCAAATAATGGCCAAACAGAAAAGAGTGAAGAAGCAAGAATTCAAAAAAAAATGAGGAGTCTTAGGAACCTCCAGGACATCTTTAAACGTTCCAACATCCGAATTATAGGGGTACCAGAAGGGGGAAAGGCACAGCCACCAGTGGAAAACTTATTTGAACAAATAATAAAGGAGAATTTCCCCAATCTGGCAAAAGAAATAGACTTCCAGGAAATCCAGGAAGCTCAGAGAGTCCCAAAGAAGTTGGACCCAAGAAGGAACACACCAAGGCACATCACCATTACATTAGCCAAAATTAAAATGAAGGAGAGAATCCTAGAAGCAGCAAGAGCTAAGGGGACAGTCACCTACAAAGGAGTTCCCATCAGACTGTCAGCAGTTTCTCAAAAGACACCTTACAGGCAAGAAGGGGCTGAAAAGAGGTATTCCAAGTCATGAAAACCAAAGACCTACAACCAAGATTGCTCTATCCAGCAAAACTTTCATTTAGAATGGAAGGACAGATAAAGTGCTTCTCAGATAAGATCAAATTCAAGGAGTTCATCATCACCAAGCCCTTATTATATGAAATGTTAAAGGGACTTATCTAAGAAAAAGAGGTTAAAAAAAGATGAACAGTGAAAGGACAACAAACTCAGTTATTAACAACCACACCTAGAACAAAAGCAAACTAAAAGGACAGCTAGATCAGGAGTGGAAACAGAAACAAAGATCTCAAGGAGGGTTAGCAACAGGGGAGTGGGAGGAGAAGGGGGGAGAAGGTACAGAAAATAAGTAGCATAGTCAGTAGATAGAAAATAGATGGGGGGGCAAGAATAGTATGGGAAATACAGAATCTAAAGAACTTGAGACACATGGTCATAAACTAAAGGGGGGGGTAATGGTGGGGATGGGAGGGTAGAGTGGAGGGGAATGAAGGGGGGAATAAAACACCTATAATGGCATAATCAATCAAAATAAATAAATAATTAAAAAAAAACTAAGCAAACAACTAGAATGGGAAAAGAATCAGAGAAATGGACATCACATGGAGGGTTTTCAGTGGGGAGGGGGAAGGGAAGAATAGGAGAGAAAAGGTACAGGGAAGAAGAAGCATAATTGGTAGGCATTAAATAGATGGGAAGAGATAAAAAATGGTATAGGGAACAGAAATCAAAGAACTTATATGTACAACCCATGGACATGAACAGGGTGGGGGATGCTGGAGGGTTAGGGGGTGCAGGGTGGAGGGGGGATAAAGGGGAGGACTGGGAAAACAATAGAATATAATTTAAAAAATTTAAAAAGTAAATAATAAAATAAAAATTTAAATAACCGTTTATTGTTGCCCTCGGAACAAGTAGTCTGGTCTGGTTCTCCACACCTGCAAGTCTTGGAGTTGACATGGAGCTCTTCCGACCAGGTGTGCATTTCAGAGCCACTGCTGTTCCAGTGATTGGCCCTTTTGGATGTGGTGCTCCAGACCAGAATGCAGATTTCCATCCAAAATGGCAGTGGGACGACAGGTCTTTGAGTTTCTTACTGAGGAGAATCAGTGCCACAAAGGCTCTGGGGTGTGAGTCTGCTGTGCACTAGACAGCTCCAAGAGAGGAGGGTCCCCAGCTGCCTAATACCGAGGCATCAGCTGTTCTCTACTCACTAGGGAGGAGTGGTGGTAGCGATCCCGAGTGGCGAAGTCTGCGTTCTCTTGGGTGAGCTGGGTCATCTCCATGTCAACCCGAGCCAGGGATGGTGCCAAAATGATCTGCTCTTGGGGAGTCTGCAAGCTCCTTTGGTGAGAGAAACACAGAGGATGGTCAGAAGGAAAGAGCAAGACCTAAACAGTAAAGATGAGTCTTCTCTGGGACAGAAAAATTATTTGCAAAAACATCATTGTGCTTATTATTGAACCTGTATTTAAAAAACATAACTTTGAAAGCTTTATGTACAACAGTTGAAGAAAAAAGTATAAGAAGTATCAAATAAAATAAGGAAAGAAGGGAAATTTACCTTTCTTTAGCAGAAATATATGAAACTATACAAAATAAATATCCAAATAGTGTCATGTTGGGGCTCTACAGCGTTTCTTTGCCTTTTTGTCAAATGAGATAATGGAATGGAGAGGCCAAAAAAGTGAGAAGAGTAGAAAGAGAAACCTTCTCCTCGGTTCATGGAAAAGGAAGCTGAATAAGAAATGACCTCTAGAGCCAAGGTCGACATGACAAGCAGCTCCAAGGTAAACCACGAAGGCTTTGACACCAATTTTGCCTGAGTCAGGAACAAGTCCCAGTACGGACTGCACTGAAGTGTCTACATACAGTTGGAGTTGGTATACACCGGTAAAGAAATTTGTTAATAATACATGAGGAAAGTGCCAGAGGCAGAAAGGAATGGGGAAAGATCAGACTGGCACTCAGGTACCTACAGCAGCCGGACACTGTCACGGCTGTGCCTCGAACCAGCCCTGTGGCCCCCAAAAACTTCCCCACCTCCTGAGGCAAAGCCCTTGTCACGCCTTAGACAGGAACTGCTGCTTAGGGATTCTACTTGAAAAGAATCATCTACTTATGAGTAGGAATGTTCAGCTGTATAAATAAGGAATATATCTGATAGTTCTAAAACATTTTCAAAGGTAGAAATCTAATGTTTAAATCTTCAGAACTTAAGCAGAAAGTTTCAACTGACTGGCAAAAAGTGCTGCTACAGAAATTCAGATCACATGACTAAGGCCTTGCAGCCACTGATGAGAACGGATCTGAATGAGGGAGGTTGAGGTTTTCTGAGAAATGAATTGGCTTCCATGAAGATTGAATCTTCTAAAAGTAAGGTTGACAATTGATAAAAATGCCATACCAATGAACATGTAAGTGTTTTTTGCTAATGCATTTTTCATTAATGCTTTCTTTTTTTTAAGGTGAAACAATAGCATTCTTCTGAGTTCTGATAAATAATATACTTCACTTTCTAATCTAAAATGGTCTAAGAATTCTCTTCTGGGCAGTTGCTAGGACTTCAGTAAAGAACCCCTTCTCAGGGTCAGTCTAAATTTTACATAATTCTGGGAAGTGTAGGTATAAGAGAGGAAGTAGCCAAACTCCTTTGCCCAAACACCTCCACTATATTATTTTTCTTTGGTTTGAAGAGCATCTGGGTCTATAATTATTACAAAAAAAAAACCCTCTCAAAACTACAAAATAAAAACACACAGCTAACAATTTCTATTTTAGATACATTACCATTTCTTGGTCCTTTTATCCTCCTAAATAATTATCATAAAACATCCAGTAGCCATGGTGAGACCAGCAAGTTTGATGCTGAGGCTTAACTGAATCCTCCATCACCCACTTCATAGACCCACAGAGCTATGAATAGTGTGGGCTGGGTCCTATCCCAACCAAAGTATTGTCCTTTTCTAAGAATAATCTCCTCCTAATATATTCTTCTTTCTACACAGCACTACAGTGACCTGAAATTCTAGGAATTCAGAGGGCAGCATAAAGAGTAGTGACCTTGCATGGCCATGTGCAGGCTTTAAAACGGCAAGTGCCTAAAACTATTCCTGTAAATCAGATAGGGCCAAACACTCTTAACCAGTCATCACCTCCAGGTTCAGATCTGTAGGCGTCCTCTACACAGAAGCTATTTCCATTTATACTCCACTTTTCCTCGGGACTATGTGACAGGGAAAAGAGATTAGCGCAGAAGTGCTGTGACTTGGGTCACCCCACTTGGCGCCACAGAATGGAAGAGAGGCAGAGGGACGACCCTGCCCTCCTGTAGCCCCACACAGAGCATGTAGCCCAGCTTCCAGCAGATGACAGGGACACCCCCCCTCCCTCCCAGCATTTTCTCTGTTGGTTTCCATAGGCTCTGCTCCTATTTCTTCATCATCCCAGGCTCTAGCACCAAGGTTTCATTTCTTGTGCAATCTGGAACAAATTGGTAGTGCTTATAAAGACTTGTGTTAAAAAGGATTCTTAGAAGGGAGAAAGAAGGCATTACTGCTGAATAGATAAAGGGCTTCTGTTTTGTGAGACAGAGTTCTGGAGAGTCACAGGGGTGATGGTTGCACAACAATATACGTGTACTTAATGCCACTGAACTGGACACTGAAAAATGGTAAGATGATACATTTTATGTTTCATGTATTATATCACAATAAGAAACGGTGGGGAAAGGATTCTGGGACCAAAGGGAAAGGGTTTCATAATCCATTAGCAATGTCTGGACATGGAAGGTGAAGATATTTGCAAGTACAACCCAGACATTCAGAGCTTCAAAAACAAAATAAAAATGAAGCCAAATAAACCCTCGGTTGGGTTCTGCCTGGATTTTTGGAGCCTGCAGCTTTGGCTCTTCACTGATAATTGAGGGAGAAGGGAAGTAATTTCCCAGGGTCCCAAGGCCTCCAAAGGTGGGGAATCACTGTCTCCAGAAAAGTGGAGAAGGAGGAAGGATATTAGGGTGCCCATGAAATCTTACCTTCTCTATGAGGCCTTCTCCTGTTTCTCAGGGAAGTCTGTGCTTCCGTTTCCCTGTGTATTTGAACATGGAGGTACCACAGAAGCCCTCTGGAATCTCTATTCTACCTATTTCTTACTTGGCATCTTCACTTTCACCAACACAGTCATATCAACCATCTCTGACTTGAGATGGAAGAACAGGAGTACTTTGGACCCTAATCTTCTGTGTGATGACATATTGATGCTGGTGTGTCTTAGACTGAACTCACTAGGAGTAGCCCCCTTGACTTCTCACCCACCAATCAGATTCTAAATAAAGCCTCTGTTCAGGACTTCCGGCCAAGATGGAGGCATAGGTTGAAATACTGTACCTCCTCGCACAACCAAATTTATGAATAACAAAGATTTAGAAACAAAAACACAACCAAAACAGACAGAAAATTGAACTGTACCAAAGTCCAACAATGAACCATTCAGCCAGACCAGTAAGAAGGGTAGAGTCAATGGCGGGTGGAAAGGGGTCCCAGCAGAAAAAGGCAGTGGTTAGCGGACTGGGGGATGAAATGAGCAAACCCAGTAAGGCTCGCAAGGTGGCTGGCTAACAGTGGACACACATTTGCACCCAGATAAACCAGGCAAAAAAACGGGCAGTGGGACAGACTGCACAACCCAGGGCCCCAGTGATGGGAAATAAAGCCTAAAAGCACTGATTGTAAAAACTTTTGGGGATTGAGGTGCCAAGAGAGGCTCTCAGACTCACAGGAGAGTTTGTTGGAGAGACCCACAGGGTCCTGGAATGTACACAAGCCCACCCACCCGGGAACCAGCACCAGAAGAGTCTAGTTTGCTTGTGGGAAGTGGCAGAGGGGACCGAAATCTGAGAGAGAGCAGAACAAATGCCATTGCTCCCTCTCTGACCCCACCCCCAGTCACAACCTAGCAACTGGGTTTACCTGCACTGGTGAGCACCTAAGCCTCTGCCCCTCATACGTAACAGGCATGACCTGACCAAAACATTATGGCTCAAGCAGAAGAACAGCTCAAAGCCCCACAGCCAATACTTCTAAGCAACAAAGAGATAGCCAACCTATCAAATGCACAGTCAAAACACTGGTGATCAGGATGCTCACAGAATTGGGATTTTAGTCACAAGTTAGATGAAAAAATGAAGGCTACACTAAGTGAAATGAAGCTAAATGCACAGAGAACTAATAGTGATGGAAAAAAAACTGGGACTAAAACTAATGGAGCGGACCAGAAGAAATGAAGAAACAACCAAACAGAAAAGGATGAAGAAACAAGAATTCAGAAAAAATGAGGAGAGGCTTAGGAACCTCCAGGACATCTTGAAATGTTCCAACATTCGAATTATAGGGGTACCAGAAGGGGAAGAGGAAGAGCAACATGTGGAAAACTTATTAGAACAAATAACAAAGGAGAACTTCCTCAATCTGGCAAAGGCAAGAGACTTCCACTAAGTCCAGGAAGTTCAGAGAGTCCCAAAGAAGGTGGACCCAAGGAGGAACACATCAAGGCACATCATCATTACATTACACGAGATTAAAATGAAGGAGAGAATTCTAGAAGCAGCAAGAGATAAGGGGACAGTCACCTACAAAGGAGTTCCCATCAAACTGTCAGCGGATTTCTCAAAAGAGACCTTACAGGCAAGAAGGGGCTGGAAAGAAGTATTCCAAGTCATGAAATCCAAAGACCTACATTCCAGATTGCTCTATCCTGCAAAGCTTTCATTTAGAATGGAAGGACAGATAAAGTGCTTCTCAGATAAGGTCAAATTCAAGGAGTTCATCATCACCAAGCCCTTATTATATGAAATGTTAAAGGGACTTATCTAAGAAAAAGAAGTTTAAAAAAGATGAACAGTGAAAGGACAGCAACCTCACAGTTATTAACAACCACACCTAAAACAAAGCAATCTAAGAGGACAGCTAGATCAGGAGCAGAACTATAGAAATGGAGATCACATGGAGGGTTAGCAACAGGGGAGTGGGAGGAGAAGAAGGGGGGAGAAGGTATACAAAATAAGTAGCACAGAGGGTAGGTAGGAAACAGACAAGGGGGAGGGCAAGAATAATATGGGAAATGTAGAAGCTAAAGAACTGTGACACATGGACATGAACTATAGGGGGGATATGTGGGGGGGAGGGGATGTGCAGGGGGGAGGGGAATGAAGGCGGGGAAATGGGACAACTGTAATGGTATAATCAATAAAATATATTTAAATAAATAAATAAATAAATAAAGCCTCTGTTCATGATTCCCAAGGATAAGAAGGGAAGGGGACATGAGTCAGAGGATACTTCTAATGAGCTGAGTCTGGGGCCCGGGTGGTAGAGGGCAGTGAGTAGCAAACTCTGAATCTCCTTGAGGTCCTCAACTGTCAGGTCCCCACACTACAATTCACCCAAACAAAGCAAGGAATGGCACATGCTTAGCACCTCCCAGAACCAAAGGACACTCATCCGCCCTGGTCCTGGCTCTCAGTTAGCACTGACCTGCAGGAGGGGATCAGAAGAGATCTCATCCATCTGAAAAAGCTGAAGTTGGAGGCTGACCCTACAGGGAGGACATGTACATAAATATTGATGAAGGCTCTAGGTATGCATCTAAAACCCTAGTTTTAATAGAATGTGCATTCCCTGACACACACATAAAATTAACACATTTTTTCCCTTTTTAAGTCTAACCAAACCATATTCATGGAAATATTCCCTAACAGTAGCCTGCTAAGGACTTTGTAGCCATACGTAGTTTCCAAAAATTTATTTATAAATTCCAAATCCCAAGAAAGAAACAGAAAAAAAGTAGATAAGTTGTTTACTTCAGTCCTAGGAATTAAATTTTTTTAATAATATTTTTTCTTAGATTCAAAGTATATGTTAAATATGTCCTATATAATCCCCTACTAGACCATATGCCCTGTGAGAATAGGAAGCATGTCTTTTTCATCTTGTCTTACTCACAGTACAACACCCACTGGAACTGGCACTCAGAGTTTTCCACAGGTGTGAGTGAATCAAATAACTCAACATGTAGAAATGTTAGAGCCAAATTTTGAAGTGAGATTGTTGTTGACACAGACACACTGATTACAATAGGGCCAATCAACTTTAAAACAAAATGCCTCACCCCCTCTTCAGTATTGGTTTTTATAAAATCTCACAGAACAAATTATATGTATATATAACTTAATATATATAGTTTGATCCAGGTCAGAGCACATACATACAAGAAAGGAAACAAATGAATGCATAAATAAATGGAATAACAAATCAATGTTTCTCTCCCTCTCTTTCCTCTCACCCTTCTCTTTCTCTCTAAAATCAATAAATTTTTAAAACTTAAAAAAAAAAAAACCATTCTCACAGACACACCCACAAATAGTCTTTAATCTGGGGACCTGTGGCCCAGCCAAGTTGACACAAAAAGTCAACCATCACAGGGAGGTTTCACAGAGGAGGGGGGCTGTTGAAGGATCCTGAACTGAGAGACCTGGGTTTTCATCATAGGTCACCCCTGAGGGCCTTAGACTGGGCATGTCTTCTTTCTGGAATTTGCTCTTCCCTCTTCTACTCTGCCATCTTGACCAGAAGTCCTCCAAAGCATTATTCTTAATGGATATGTGACTAAGTGTATAAAGTGCATTTTTTTCAAAAGTATATAGCACATTATTCTAATTATGAAGAATTTTTTTCTTCAGTTTGCCTGGATTGTTATGCTTTATCTGATTTAGTTAGGACTTACAGCTTTATTTTCAACTGGGGCATCACAGAATTTTGCTAAAAATGGCTGGTGAATTTATTTTATTTTTTCTGTGTCAGTTAGTTCTTTCTCTTTTTGTTATCCTTTTTTGCTCAACCCCACCACCTCTCCAAACAATATGTTTTTAACAGCTTTATTACTGAGAAATAACTGACATACAATAAACAGAGTATTGACCATAATTTCTTACTTTGTATATATTCTTGATGCTCTGGCATTTGGGGCCTTGATCCTAGAGGTGCTAATTTCTAGAGATAGCAACAAACTCCCCTGTGAGCAAAACTTCGATATACAAACCAACCAAACCAGAGCCACACCCCCCACCATCTCCCTTGTCAAATTCTCCCACACTGAGTCAATACACCCCTCCCCTAAATCACACTAGGGCAAGATACCAGACAACTCAGAGCCCATTGAAATTATTCAAACTATCTAATCTTAAACTTGCTCAGCTATCTACCTGGCTCACCCACTCCTTGCCAATAAAAACCTAATAGAAACTCTGAGCCATGGTCTTCCCCTTTCCTCTCCCTCATGACCAACCCTGGTCCTCCCTCATGTGACCCCATTTGGCATGCATGCTGCACCTCCATTTCTAGGGATCTGTGAGTATAAACTCATTCCTCCATGACAATCATTGTGTCTGTGTGTCTTAAGATACCTGATTAAAACAACTTCAGAGTCCATTTCTAGAACAAACTACATGCATTTCAAGCGTACCATTTAGTAAGTATTGACACATGGAGTACACTGTGAAGCCATCGCCACGAGCAAGATCATGAACACATCTACCACCTACGAAGGTTTCCTCAAGCCATCCCGAACCCCATCTAAAAGCAACCACTGACCTGCTTTAATGATAGGCTAGTTTGCATTTTTAGTAACTTTATATTATATATATATAAAATAATACAGTATATACTTTTTGTCTGGTTTCTTTCACTCAGCATAGTTATATGAGATTCATCCAAGGCATTGCAGGTTCTTTTTATTACTGAGCCTTCCATTATATAGCTGTACTACAATTCATAGTCATCTATTGGTGGGCATTCACATGGTTTCCAGTTTTGGCGATTACAAATTAAGCTGCTGTGAGTATTCATGTAGGTGTTTTTGTATACTTTCAGTGCTCTTGGGTAAATACCTAGGAGTACACTGGCTCATTCATATAGCAGGTACAAATTTAACTTTTAATAAACTGCCAAACTGTCTTACAAAGTGTTGTATTGTTTTATTTCCACCAGCAATACACAGCAGTTCTAGTTGTTCTACATCCTTGCCAACACTTTGCATGATCAGTATTTTAAGTCTTAATCCCATCCACCTAACCATGTTGAACACCTTTTCATTTGCTTATTTGCCATCCATACATACTCTTTGGTGAAATCTGTTTAAAACTTTTGCCCATTTTTTAAATCTTTTTGTTTGTCTTCTTATTCAGTTTTGAGAGTTTTTATATATTCTAGATACAAGTCATTTCTTAGATATATAATTTGCTAACATTTTCTCACAGCCTATGGCTTGCCTTTGCATTCTTTTACCTGTGTTTGGAGGATGGGAGCCCTTAATTTCAGGAAGCCCAATTTAGCAACTTTTTTCCTGCTTTTGGTGTTGTATCTAAACCTTTGCCTTTCATTCAGATTCACAAAGGTATTTTTTTCCTTTACTTTCTTTTAAAATTTTTATAGTTTTATGTTTTATATTAAGTTCTAGGATTTATTTTGAGTTATTTTTACATTGTAAGATATGTAGATTAAATTTACTTTTTGCGTATGGTTATCTGATTGTTCTAGCACTGTTTTCTAAAGAGATTTTTTTTCCTTCGCTGAATTGCTTTTGCACCTTTTTTGAAAATCAACTGACCATATACATATGGATGAATTTCTGGCCTTCCTACTCTGTCCATTGACTTATTTGTCTATCTTCATTTCAATACTATGCTTTATAATTACCTTAGCTTTTATTACCTTAGCTTTATAATCCTTACCTTAGCCATTTTATAAAGCTATTACCTTAGCTTTATAATCAGTCTTGAAATTAGGTAGTGTAAGTCCTCCAACTTTGTTCTTCTTTTACAAAGTTGGTGGGGCTATCCTAGGTCCTCTGCATTTCCATATATATATTTTAGAGTCTGCTTGTCAATGTCCATAAAAACAAGCAACAGATTTTGATTAGGATTGTGTCAAATCGATAGAACAGTTTGGGAAGAAATGATGTCTTAAGAATATTGAATCTTCGAATTCATAAACATAGTACATCTCTTCACTTATTTCTTTAATTTCCTCTTAGAAATGTTTTGATTTCCCTCCTTTTTAAAAATATTTTATATTTATCTTTAGAGGGGAAGGGAAGGGGAGAGGGAGAGAAATATCAGTGTATGGTTGCCTCTTGTGCATCCCCTGCTGGGAACTGGCCTGCAACCCAGTCATATGCCCTGACTGGGAATAGAACTGCGATTCTTTGGTTCACAGGCCTGTACTCCATTCACTGAGCTACACTAGCCAGGGCTTAATTTTCCTCCTTTAGTCTGTAAATATGGTGATTTACATGGAATAATTCAGAATGTTAAACCAACCTTGAATTCCTGGGATAAACCTACTTGGTTTTGATGTATTATTCTTTTTATATTTTCTATTCAATTTGGCAAAACTTTGTTATGAATTTTTGTATCTATGTTTATGAGAGATGTTAGTGTGTAGATTTCCAAAGAGTTTGTATAGAATTTATATTCTTTCTCCCTTTAAGTGTTTGGTAGATTTCATTGGTGAAGCCATCAGGGCCTACAGTTTTCTTCATGGGAAAGTTTTAATAACAAGTATAATTTAAAAAATATATCTTATTTATTTACTTAGAGAGAGAGGAAGAGAGAGAGAGAAACACCAATGTATGGTTGCTCCTCATGTGTCCCCAGCTGGGGACCTGGCCTGCAACCCAGGCATGTGCCCTGACTGGGAATTAAACCAGCAATCCTCTGGTTCACAGGCCTGCACTCAATCCACTGAGCCACACCAGCCAGCGCACGAGTGTAATTTCCTTAACAGAACTTAAATAGCCCTATCTTTCTTCTAGAGTGAACTTTAGTAGTTTGTATCTTTCAAGGAATTTGTCCAAGTTATCTAATTTATTGACATAAAGTTGTTTAAAATACTTCTTTATTTCCCTTTTAATATCGGTACACTCTCTAGCAATGTCATCTCCCTCACTCTTGACATTGGTCATTGTCACCTTCTCTCCTTCCCTTCTGATCAGTCTGGCTAAAGGTTTGTCAATTTTATTGATCTCACATAACCAGCTTCTTGTTTCATTGCCATTTTCTACTTTTTTCTGGTTTTATATATTACTGATTTCTATTTTGATCTTCATTGTTTCAATGTTTCTCTTATTTGGATTTAATTTCCTTTTCTTTCTCAAGTTTCTTACATTGGAAGTTGGGGGTCATTGATTTGGGGCATTTTTTCTTTTCTAATATATACATTTGATGCTATAAACTACCTTATAAGTACCTAGTTAGCTGCATCCTATAATTTTTATGTTATATTTTCATTTTTATTCAGTTTGTAATACTTTGAAATTTTACTTTGTATTTCTTCTTTGAGCCATGAGTTATCTAGTTTCTTTAGTTAATTTAGCATTGTTTAGTGTTCTTAGTCATTTAGTGCTATTTAGTGTTCTTTTGTTTGTAAATATTTGGGGGTTTTCCAGATATCTTTCTGTTATTTATTTCTAATTTACTTCCCCTTTGGTCAAAGAACATACTTTGTTCTTGAATTGACTTGAATACATTTAAGTAGACATATTGAGACTTTTTATGTTCTCAAGTGAATTTAAAATGAACATATATTCTGCTGTTGTTAGGTGGAATGTTGTATACATCTTTGTTTATCCAGGTTTGTTGATAATATTATTCAAGTCTTCTAAAGTCTTACTGATTTTATGCCTATTTGTTTTATCATTATTGAGTGAGAGGTGTTGACATCACTGACTACAATCACGAACTTTTCTATTTCTTGTTACAGTTATACTTGGTTTTGCTTCATGTATTTCAAAGCTGTTTTTATGTATATAAATGTTAAGGGTTGTTACATCTTCCTGGTAATTTTTAAAATCTTTATGAACTAACCCTCTTCATCCCTAGTAATATAATATTTTTTTCTCTAAAACCCACTTTGCCTGCTTTAATGCTGTCAGTCCAGCTCTGTTTTGACTCATGTTACGTCTTTTCCCATCCTTTCACTTTCAATTTATTTTGTGTCTTTATATTTAAAGTAGGTTTTCTACAGGTAGAAAATAGTTGTACCATTCTTTTTTGTTCAATCTGACAAACTCAATGTTTCAACCACCATTGGGAGTGTTAGACTATTTACTTTTAGTGTGATTATTGATATGGCTAAGTTTACACAAATTGCTTTGTTATCTGCTTTTTGTTTGCTCCATTTGCCCTTTATTATCTTTCCCTCTTATTCTGCTTTATTTTGATTTGAGCATTTTTAAATTTAATTTTACCTCCTTTATTGGTTCACTAGCTATAACTTTCTGTTTTTAATCTTCACCTGAGGACATGCTTATTGATTTTAGAGAGGGAGGAAGGAAGAGAGAGTGAGAGAGGGAGAGAAACATGGGTTGGTGGCCTCACACATGCCCCAGACCTGAGGTCAAACCTGCAACCTAGGCATGTGCCCCGACTTGGAATCAAACTTGCGACCTTTTGATTTATGAGACAATGCCCAACCAGCTGAGCCACACCAGCTAGGGCAACTCTTTGCTATTTTTAATAGTTGCTTTAGAGTTTGTAGTACACATTCTTAACTTATCATAGTCTACCACTAAGTGATACAATAGTACTTCCCATAGAGTATCAGAAACGTAAAACAGTATATTTCCATTTCTTCCTTCCTGGCCCCTATACTATTGTTGTCATCCGCTTTACTACTACATGTTTTATAAATCTCACAAGTTATTTTTTAATTTGTTATCATTTATGTGCATATCATATTTTTCCTCCTAGACTATAAGCTACTTGAAAATAGGATTCATATCTGAACCAGTGTTGACATTTAATATGTGCTGAAAACATATTTCTTCAATAGGTGCTAAAAGAGGAGGGAGGTGGTAGCGAAATGGCTCTGCTGCTCACCAAGATGAAGCCCTGGACTGGTCCGACCAATGTAGAAATACACAACCACAGCAACGCACATGTTAACCAAGGTATAGACCCACTGGATCACAAACATGATGACAAGGGACCCAACAGCCTGTGGAAACAGAGTAGGAAAGGCAAGTCACCTAATGGTTTATCACATGGTGAGCAAACCACAAAACTCGTGCCTTAAGAAACAGTAGTTCCTCTCATCAACCACTGATCACTATAAAAGTCTGCTTAATTGGAGTTCACTCATAATTCAAGAAACCTCACTTAACCAGATACTTGAGAAGATACCCTCTGGAAGTACCCTCTAATCAAAACTATCAATAAGTATATAGATATTCTACCATAGCTCCTTGTCCTACTCCTCCCTAGAAGAAACAAAGTGAAATGATTCTAATTTGGTATACCTAGAAATTTAGTAACCCGGAGGTTATCAGAGATGATCAATTATTTTACAAGTAAACCACTGACGTAAGTGATGCACTAAATGTAGTTTTGCCCTATGTAGTCTCATCTAAATTCTAATGTGACAGGGAGTTAAATCACATTGCTCCTGGTTAATTAAGACCCTCCTCTTCCTCCCCACAGCCCCAACCCTGAGGTCACACATATCTCCACCTGAATTATGTCTCACAGACAACTGAGATAAAAATGAAGCTACTCACCCCCAGCAGGGAGACCCAAGGATTGCACATGCGAGCATACACAGAAGTAGGTCTTCTCCGAATGTCTTGTTCCTGGAGCCTATGCTTCAGGAAGAAATCTAAAAAATAAATGAGCCAAACTCTTGGTTACCGATTTGTCATCAAATCCTCTTCTATTCTTATTAGCAAATACCTATAAGCTCTTCTCCAATTTTGTAACTCAGCCTAAAAGATAACTTCCACTTACTTCAACTATTAACTCCCTTGTGGTCTTAGACTACTCATTCTCCCACCCTCTGATGTAACAAGTTTACAATTTCTCCTCTCAAAGGAGAACTTTCATATTCTCTCATCACCAGATCTACTAACTCAGTTGCATCTTGAACCCTCTCCTCTCTGCCTTCCCTCCTTGTACAGTGGGTGAACCTGGCTCCTGTGTAAGGCCCATCCTTCCATTCGTGCCTCGCTCAGGGATTTTGCTTTTACATCATTGATTTTTCCATCCTATACTGAATCATTCCCATGAAATATGTATATTTTATGCTGCAATTTCTCCCGCCTAAACAAATACCTTCTGGTCAACTCCTATTTCTTTTCCTTTCATATAGCAAAACTCCTCAAAAGAATAGCTTATACATTCTTATTCTTTTTTTCTTAATCCTTTGGGAATTATTTTTTAAATTTTTTTCTTTTAACCTTTTAAAATTATTGTTCAAGTACAGTTGTCTCCATTTCCCCCCACCATTTCCCCCACTCCCCCACCCCAGTTATCCCCACTTCCCACCCTTGATCCTACCCTGCTTTGGTTTTGTCCACGTGTCCTTCATAGATGTGCCTGAAAACCCTCCTCCCCTTTTCCCCCATTATCCCCTTCTACCTCCCCTCTGGTTACTGTAAGTTTGTTCTTAATTTCAATGTCTCTGGTTATATTTTGATTGCCTGTTTTGTTGATTAGATTCCACTTGTAGGTGAGATCATATGGTATTTGCCTTTCACCTCCTGGCTTATTTCACTTAGCATATTGCTCTCCAGTTCCATCCATGCTGTTGCAAAGGGTAGGCGCTCCTTATTTCTTTGTGTTGTGCAGTATTCTATCATGTAAATGTACCATAGTTTTTTTATCCACTCATTTACTGATGGGTACTTAGGTTGCTTCTAGCACTTGGCTATTGTAAATTGTGCTGCTATGAACATTGGGGTGCATAGGTTCTTCTGGATTGGTGTTTCAGGGTTCCTCAAGTATATTCCCAGCAGTGGAACTGCCAGGTCAAAAAGCAATTCCATTTTTAGTTTTCTGAGGAAATTCCATGCTGTTTTCCACAATGGCTGCACCAGTCTGCATTTCTACCAACAGTGCACTACGGTTCCCTTTTCTCCACATCTTCTCCAACACTTGTTATTTGTTGATTTGTTTATGATGGCTATGAATAGCCTATACATTCTTTACCCACCGTTATTTCCTCAACCCACTCATACATAAGATTGTAGCATTCCACAAAACTGTTCTTCCTAAAGTTGCTAATGACTCGATCTTTTCAAATTCAATGGTCAACTCCAAGTCCTCATCCTACTCCACTTTTCCAACAGCATCTAACACATGTGATCACTTCCTGCTTATTGAAACACTTTCTTCTCTTGGTTCCTAGGATGCCTCACTCTCCCAGTTTTCCTCCTGTTCCACTGCCATTTCTTCTCAGCCTCTGTTGCTGGCTCACCTCCTCCTTCCAACCCCAAATATTGTACAATCCAACATTCATTCAGTCCTCAGCATTCTTTCCCCCCCCAAATATATATTCATTCCCAGGAGATCTCATCTTGTCCCATGGCTTTAAATACTATCCATATAAAGATGATCCAATTTTATGTCATCCTTGAATTGAAAATTTGAATATCTAGTTTTCTTCCTAATACCTCCCCTTACATGACTAACAAGCACCTCAAACCTTAACATGGCTGAAGCAGAAATGTATTCTTCCCAAGTCTTTGTCTTCCAAATAAACAACAATGGCATTCACTCTGATATCTAAGACTCATTCTTGACTTCTCTTTTCCTCACACCTACCTCTATTCCATTAGTACATACTGTTGATTTTACCATCAAAATATGTTCATAATATGACCACTCCTTGCCACAGGCATTGCTCCCACCCTAGCCCAAGCCACTTTTGTATGATTTACTGCAGTGAGCTCCTGTGGTAGGGACTGTGGCAGTTAGTGTGGCCATGTGACCAAATGCTCACCAATAAAATGTCAACAGAACTGATGAGTGCCATTTTTGCACAAGATCTTTGGGAGAGAAGGTGTGCCCCTTCTCCATGCCTGAAATCTGCACATGGTAAGTCAGTCTTGACTGTGCACATGACAAGGTCCTAGGTAGGGGATGTAGGGAGCCTGGGTCCCTGAATCAGTGCATGGAGGAGAGCCTCCCACTTATTTGGAACACCCTTCCTGGACTATTAGTGCAAGTGAGAAATCAGTTTCCATTGTATTTGAGCCACTCCATATTTGGTTATATCTTATAGCAGTTTAGCCTACCTTAATTAATATACCTCTAAATAGGCTTTGGCTCCTTTTCTTACCATTATATAATACATTCTTCACAAAGCCAGTGATCATCTTAAAGCCTGAATCTGATTATACTGCAGCTGTAGCTAGAACCTCTCTCAGCTTTCTATCACAGTCCTGGCCCAACATAGCACTGACTTCCATTTTCCTCATGGTATTCATCTCCCACCTCTCTCCCCTGGCACACTCCAATCCCATCACTGCTGGACCACTGCTCTTCTTGGAATCTGCCAATCTAGTTCTCACCTGTACCTGTATACATGCCATTTCCTCTGCCTGAAACTCTTCTCCCACATCTCTTCACAGCTCACTACTTTATACAATTCAGTTCTCCATTAAAATATCCTATTCTCAGAGAGATCTCTTCTGAAAAACCCATCTGAAAGAGTACCCCCTCTTCACCCCAGTCTTTCTCTGTCCCATCACCCCTCTTTTTATTTATCATAATGTCAGTACCTGACATTACAGTGTATACTTGTTTGTTTTGTATGGTTAAATGAATAAGCAAACCACTCTGGCCCCCAGAGAATTCTTCATACTCTCAACATATCTTCCTTCATCATGTGCTGCCAACTGTTATACTTACCTTTTATACCTCCACACCTGAGGGCAAGGACTGTCTTTTATATCTCTGAATGCAAAATCTAGACATTGAGAAGTTCATGTGTAGAAGTGCTCAAAAAAGTTTCCTTATTAATTGTGGATTAAAATAAACTCTGCAAAGTTTATGATTGATTTAAATTGATGGCCCCAGTACTTTTTTAAAAAGAAAGAATACTGCTATTATTGCATTAATTAAATTGTATACTTTTAAGATGCTCAACACATGATTCACTTTTTTAGTCATTGGCTTAGTAAAATAGTTGCTCCTTTGGTTATTTTTAAAATATATATTTTATTAATTATGCTATTAAAATCATCCTATCCACCCCTTTTATTCTCCTCTGCCCTGCACACCCTGTCCCACCCACATTACCCTTTAGTTCATATCCATGGGTCATACATGTAAGTTCTTTGGCTTCTACATTTCCTATACTATTCTTAACTTCCCCCTGTCTATTTTCTATGCTACTTATTCTCTGTACCTTTTTCCCCTCTCTCCCCATCCCACTCCCCCACTGATAACCCTCCATGTGATCTCCATTTCTGTGATCCTGTTTCTATTTCAGTTGTTTAGTTTGTTTTTGTTTCTTTGGTTTGGTTGTTAATAACTGTTTGTTGTCATTTTACTGTTCATATTTTTTATCTTCTTTTTGTTAGATAAGTCCTTTTAACATTTCATATAATAAGGGCTTGGTGATGATGAACTCCTTGAACTTGACTTTATCTGGGAAGCACTTTATCTGCCCTTCAATTCTATACGATAGCTTTGCTGGGTAGAGTAATCTTAAATGTAGGTTCTTGCCTTTCATGACTTGAAATACTTCTTTCTAGCCCCTTCTTGCCTGCAAGGTTTCTTTTCAGAAATCAGCTGACAGTCTTATGGGCACTTTTTTGTAGGTAACTGTCTCCTTTCATCTCGCTGCTTTCAAGATTCTCTTCTTATCTTTAATTTTAGGTAACATAATTATGATGTGCCTTGGTGTGTGCTTTCTTGGGACCAAATTCTTTGGGATGCTCTAAGCTTCCTGAACTTCCTCAAAGCCTATTCCCTTTGCCAGATTGGGGAAGTTCTTCATTATTTGTTCAAATAAGTTTTCAATTTCCTGCTCTTACTCTTCTTCTGGCACCCATATGATTCGGATGTTAGAACATTTAAAGATGTCCTGGAGGTTCCTAATCTTCTCCTCACTTTTTTGAATTCTTGTTTCTTCATTCTATTCTGGTTGAATGTTTATTTCTTCCTTCTGGTGCACACCATTGATTTGAGTCCCAGTTTCTTTCCAATCACTATTGGTTCCCTGTGCATTTTCCTTTATTTCACTTAGCATAGCCTTCATTTTTTCCTCTATTTTGCAACCATATTCAACCAATTCTGTGAGCATCTTGATTATCAGTGTTTTGAACTGTGCATCTGATAGGTTGTCTATCTCTTCATTGCTTGGTTGTATTTTTTCTGGAGCTCTGATCTGTTCTTTCATTTGAGCCATTTCATTTTTGGGGGGTTTCAGTGGGCCTGTTACGTAGTAGCGGGCAGAGCCTTAAGTGTTCACCAAGGCTGAGCAACTCATGTAACTATGTTGTGGTGCTGTATGTGGGGGAGGGGTGCAAGAGGGAATAGTGCTGCTTGCTCTGTTCTCTGCCAGTTTTCAGTTACTTCCCCCACTACTCACAATTCAAACTGGGCCATTCTGGTGCTAATTCCTGGGTGGGTGGGTTTGTGTATATTCTAGGACTCTGTGGGTCTCTCCAATGAACTCTCTTATGAGGCTGGGAGTTTCTCCTGCTGCCGCCTCAACCACTACAGTTGTTTTCAGTCAGAGGTTTGAGGTTTTATTTCCCTGTGCTGGAATCTTGGGTTGCATGGTCTGTCTCCCTCCCTGGTTGTTCCTCCCGGTTTATCTGCACGTGAATATGGGACCACCCTGTCAGCCAGCCAGCACATCGCCTGGTC